AGGGGATAAAAGAGAGTGCAAAAATTATAGGGGGATAAGTCTGTTGAGTGTACCTGGTAAAGTGTATGGTAGAGTTATAATTGAAAGAATTAAGAGTAAGACGGAGAATAGGATAGCAGATGAACAAGGAGGCTTTAGGAAAGGTAGGGGTGTGTGGACCAGGTGTTTACAGTGAAACATATAAGTGAACAGTATTTAGATAAGGCTAAAGAGGTCTTTGTGGCATTTATGGATTTGGAAAAGGCGTATGACAGGGTGGATAGGGGGGCAATGTGGCAGATGTTGCAAGTGTATGGGGGTAGGAGGTAGGTTACTGAAAGCAGTGAAGAGTTTTTACGAGGATAGTGAGGCTCAAGTTAGAGTATGTAGAAAGAGGGAAATTTTTTCCCAGTAAAAGTAGGCCTTAGACAAGGATGTGTGATGTCACCGTGGTTGTTTAATATATTTATAGATGGGGTTGTAAGAGAAGTAAATGCGAGGGTCTTGGCAAGAGGCGTGGAGTTAAAAGATAAAGAATCACACACAAAGTGGAGTTGTCACAGCTGCTCTTTGCTGATGACACTGTGCTCTTGGAGATTCTGAAGAGAAGTTGCAGAGATTGGTGGGTGAATTTGGTAGGTGTGCAAAAGAAGAAAATTAAAGGTGAATACAGGAAAGAGTAAGGTTATGAGGATAACAAAAAGATTAGGTGATGAAAGATTGAATATCAGATTGGAGGAGAGAGTATGGAGGAGGTGAACGTATTCAGATATTTGGGAGTGGACGTGTCAGCGGGTGGGTCTATGAAAGATGAGGTGAATCATAGAATTGATGAGGAAAAAGAGTGAGTGGTGCACTTAGGAGTCTGTGGAGACAAAGAACTTTGTCCTTGGAGGCAAAGAGGGGGAAAGTATGAGAGTAAAAGTTTTACCAACGCTCTTATATGGGTGTGAAGCGTGGGTGATGAATGTTGCAGCGAGGAGAAGGCTGGAGGCAGTGGAGATGTCATGTCTGAGGGCAATGTGTGGTGTGAATATAATGCAGAGAATTCGTAGTTTGGAAGTTAGGAGGAGTGCGGGATTACCAAAAAATGTTGTCCAGAGGGCTGAGGAAGGGTTGTTGAGGTGGTTCGGACATGTAGAGAGAATGGAGCGAAACAGAATGACTTCAAGAGTGTATCAGTCTGTAGTGGAAGGAAGGCGGGGTAGGGGTCGCCTAGGAAGGGTTGGAGGGAGGGGGTAAAGGAGGTTTTGTGTGCGAGGGGCTTGGACTTCCAGCAGCGATGCGTGAGCGTGTTTGATAGGAGTGAATGGAGACAAATGGTTTTTAATACTTGACGTGCTGTTGGAGTGTGAGCAAAGTAACATTTATGAAGGGATTCAGGGAAACCGGCAGGCCGGACTTGAGTCCTGGAGATGGGAAGTACAGTGCCTGCACTCTGAAGGAGGGGTGTTAATGTTGCAGTTTAAAAACTGTAGTGTAAAGCACCCTTCTGGCAAGACAGTGATGGAGTGAATGATGGTGAAAGTTTTTCTTTTTCGGGCCACCCTGCCTTGGTGGGAATCGGCCGGTGTGATAATAAAAAAAAAAATATAATTCAGGAAAACTGGTTATTTTTACATAGCTGGACTCAAGTCCTGGAAATGGAAAGAACAATGCCTGCACTTTAAAGGAGGGGTTTGGGGATATTGGCAGTTTGGAGGGATATGTTGTGTATCTTTATACGTATATGCTTCAAAACTGTTGTATTCTGAGCACCTCTGCAAAAACAGTGATTATGTGTGAGTGAGGTGAAGGTGTTGAATGATAATGAAAGTATTGTCTTTCTGGGGATTTTCTTTCTTTTTTTGGGTCGCCCTGCCTCGGTGGGAGACAGCCAACAAAAAAAAAAAAAAAGGGGGGAGGGGGCAAAGCTCGAGTTAGTGTTGGAGAAGAGAGTATTATCCAGCGAGAGGCCTTAGATAGGGATGTGTGATGTTACTTTGGCTGTTTAACATTTACAGATGGGGTTGGAAAAAATTGAATGCTAAAGGTGTTGGGGAGGTGTGGGATTAAAATATGCAGAATCTAATACAAAATGGGAGTCACCACAGTTGCTGAAAAGAAGCTGTAAAGATTGGTGTGGATGAATTTGGGAGGGTAAGTAAAGGAAGGAAATTAAATGTAGACATGGAAAAGAGCAAGGTGATCAGGGTAACAAATGAGACAGGTAATGAAAGATTTGACATCAGATTGAAAGGAGGGAGTATGGATGAAATGAACGTGTTTAGATATTTGGAAATGGACTTATCGGCAGATGGGAATGTGAAAGATGAGGTGAACCATAAAACTGATAAAGAAAGAAGGTGGGTGGTGCATCAAGGTATCTATGAAGACAAAAAACATTATTCATGAAGGCAAAGAGGGGAATGTCTGAGTAGTGGTACCAATGCTCTTATATGGGTGTGAAGCATGAATTGTGAATGTTGTAACAAGGAAGAAGCTGGAGGCAATATGCATTCTATACTGAAAACTATACTAGATGGGGAAATAATAGATTATCTCACTAGTTAAAATAAAATTCTACTTACGAACTCCATCTGAGATGAACCTGGACCTGCATCACCAGTCTTATCCACCCCTGAAGGAGCTCTTCTATAAGCATCTCGGGAGCCTTCACCACGAGGCCCTTCAGAACGAGACTGCATAGGTCTTGGGCGTCCTTCAGGACGAGTGGGCTTCTTCAACGTTGCTGGTACAATCTAAAACATCATGTCAATCAATGGGGCTGGCATAAGAATATTTAAAAATTGTGATTACATAACAGAAGAACTGCCTAGGAGTCCTAGATAATCTTTAACCACATTAACCCTTTCATTGTCAGTCCCATAATATTATGGCTTGCAACCCAGTGTCGATCCCGTAATACTACGCCAAAATTCTAGCACCTTCAAATCTGGAAGGCCTACATGTGAGAGAAGGGGTCTGTGTGCTCAGTGTGAGCAGTATTAAAAAATCGGGGAGGCAGCAGTGCACTGTGGGAGTGCCAACTTAGTACACCTTGTTCATCATGCCTAGCAGAAAGGAATACCTCACTCCTCAGTGAACTGAGACTCTTCCCTTCGAAAGTGATAGTTCTAACACAGATGGAAGTGTTAGTGAAGATGAATTTTATGGTTTTGAGGAGTTTGTGACCAAAAGAAATGCCCGAGATAACAGAAATATTGCTGAAAACCCAGCCGACCATCAACTTTCCACCTCGGGTGCTGGGCCGTCTCGTGTTCAGTTGTACCACAGCGAAAGAGGAAACTCATTTCCCTATGTCTCAAAGAATAAGTAAGTTTATTTAGGTATACACAAATACAGTTAGAGATCATCATACACAGTACGTGTCGAGAACCTAGGATAACCCAAAAAATTCAGACAAAGTGACTTATTTCCATGTGTTAGTGGGGAAGACATCATGGTTGGTGGGGAAGACAGTATGGGTAATGTCACAACTGGGATGGATAATATGCATGCAGCAACAGTAATGTGTCATGTAGCATCAACAGCACCCCAGGCTGGTCGCCATGCAGCCGACTCAGCACATCCACAACAAAGGCCACCTAGAACCACCCACACACAACCTGCACAACCACAACAACCCACCCACTAAAATGCAGACGCTTTTTTTTTTTTTTACGTGTAAGAGTAAAACAGCACTGCGCATAACACCATGTTTCAATGAGTCCCACAAGCTGCAGCACTTCTAGGAACTTATCCAGTGACAATATGTGTAGTATATATATTATAGAATAATAGTAATAAACAACTTTTTAAATTGTTGGTTTGCACAAACAAGTTTTGTAAACATATAACAATATTTGTGCAGTTATTGTGTAGAATACAATGAGTAGATATATATACAATATGCATTATATTGGTCTCTCAGCCCACAAAAGTTGCTTGAAAAAACAAAATATTAGAAAATAAAAAATAGAATATTACCAAGTGAGTGGCAGTCATCTGAAAGCGGTTCACTTTCTGTCAACTTCACGCCTCTATCTCGGTAAGTACTGATTGCAATTTTTTTTTCTATTAAAACAATCAGAAAAACATTTAGCCCTTAAACTGTCCAAACATAGATCTACGTTTTTTCAACATTTGAAAGCATGTAAAAAATGTAATTTTTTTTTTTTCATTTGAAAACGTGTAAAAAAACTTTGATCTACGTTTTATTTTTTGTTATACAGTGGTCCCTCGTTCATAATTAATCCATTCCTGGAGCCGTTTCTATAAACGAAATTTACGATTTACGAATCAATTTTCCCCATAAGAAATAATGTAAATACAATTAATCTGTTCCCGACACCCAGAAGTATTAAAACAAAAAAATTTTTAACATGAAATATATATGTAGTACATAAACAATACAATGGGAAATGATGAAGGGAACATTCTTAGTGTATGGGAATGGAACATTCTTAGTGTATGGGAGACTGGAGGAGGAGAGAGAGAGAGGTACCATTTGCTTTTCTGGGGTTGCTTCTCTTCTGTTTCTTAATGACACTAGGACCACCTTGAGAGTCACTGGAGTCCTGTCTCACAAAATAGCTGTGGAGAGAGCTCTGTTTCTGGCATCTCTAACACTTCCCTAAAATGGCCCAAGACTGTCACTGTACATGTTGCCAACCTGGCTTGCAACAACCTTGTTAGGGTGATGTTTCTCCATAAAGCTTTCCATCTTACCCCACATAGCAAAAATCTCTAATTTCTGAAGAAGGCACCTTCTTCCATCTCTCTTCCTCCTCCTCTGCAGCAAGATTCTGAGCTGCGATGTGTTGCTCTTCCTGCTGAAGCTCTTGCAGCTCCTCAGTGGTGAGCTCTTCATTGTGGTCTTCCACCAATTCTTCCACATCCTCCAAACTCACATCCAACCCCATGGAACTCCCCAGTGCCACAATTGATTTTACAACAGACATAGGCTCATTAGGGTCAGTCCCAAATCCTTCAAAATCCCTCTTGTCGACACAATCTGGCCACAATTTTCTCCAGGCAGAGTTCAAAGTCCTGGTAGTCACTCCCTCCCAAGCCATACCTATAAGGGTTATGCAGTGGAGGATGCTGAAGTGTTCTCTCCAAAATTCCCTTAGGGTCAAGTGAGTGAGTGTGGTCACAGTGAAGCACCTGTGAAACACTGCTTTTGTGTAGAGTTTTTTAAAGTTTGCAATAACCTGCTGGTCCATGGGTTGGAGGAGAGGAGTGGTATTCGGGGGCAAGAACCCAAACTCCTCGAAAATTAGGTCATCCAAGTTTGGAGGATGAGCAGGTGCATTGTCCATTACTAGCACGCACTTGAGATCCAATTTCTTTTCCAGGATATACTCCTTCACACTAGGGCCCAACACTTCATTGAACCACTACCAAAATTTCCCTCGTGACCCATGCCTTACTATTAGATTTCCAAAACACACACAATTTACTCTTCATAACATTGTTTTTCCTGAACACACTGGGATTTTCAGAATGGTACACTAGTAATGGGTTCACTTTGAAATCCCCACTAGCATTAGCACAGAACATTAGCGTCAGCCTGTCTTTAATAGGCTTATGTCCTGGCATTGCCTTTTCCTCTTGTGTAATGAAGGTCCTCTTTTGGCATTTTCTTCCAAAAGAGGCCTGTTTCGTCACAATTGAACACTTGTTCAGGTTTCAGTCCTTCACCGTTTATGTACTCCTGGAATTCATGCCATATTTTTCAGCCCCTTGTGGTCCGAACGGGCACCTCACCACCTTACCCTGTGTATGCCAGAGGTTTTTAAAATCTCCAAACCCCTTTTGCGGGCCTTTAAATTTCACTCCTTCCCACTTTGCAGGCAATTTCTTTCCCCAAATCTTCTTTGCAACTCCCTAGCCTTTTTTCACAAAAAATTTGAAGTCATAAAGAAACTCCTGTAATTGTTTCTCATTTATCCACACAAAACAACTTCCAACCTTTTCCAGTATTTGATCTCTTTTTGTCGTATTTTACTCCCTTTTGCAACAACAGCTCCTTTATTTCATTTTCTTGGCCATATGGAACAAAAGGGTTTGGGTTAGGGTTTTATACTCCTGCACAGTTCGGCCCAAAATTGACCACTTTCATATTGTTCAATGAGGTTTTTCTTAAATCCAAATTTTTCACCTTTACCACAGGCTTGGCACAGAACTTTCTTAAACCATGGTAACTTTTTTAGTACTACAAGCCTAAAAAAATGGAATATTATGAAATATTTCGCTGGGGACGCGAGGGGACCTTCGTCACTGGGAAACAAAAGCCGACGGGTGCCCCCCTGGCTCACACCGTGCGACGCATCCCCGGACGAACTAAGACTCGGAGTCAACCTATGAAAAACGGTCCAGTTTATAAAAAAATACCCAGATTTGCAATTTTAAAAGGTTCCGGGAACTACGAAAAGCGGGGGGCCACGTATTTGAATCATTATTTAAAAAAACTACATTACTTTTGGAGTACTATGCATGTGAACAAGATTTCTTCACATTTTTAAAGGGGCAAGATTTGGAAAAAAAATTTTTTTTTTTTTTTTTTCAAAAAAAATTTTTTGACAAGCAAGTTTGTATTAGGGCTCGCATGAAAGGGGGTTTAAAAATTAATCCCCCCGAGCGATTTTAACTTCAGAAATCTGAAAGGGATAAAAAAAAAATACTTTGCCAGAGAAACTACCAGGCAAGAGCCTAGATTAACAACATGCAAAATATAGGACCGATTACAGAGCTTACTCAGATTATCATATCTTCATGATGAACAACTAACCAGATCTCAAATGCAATGTGAGCAATGCTAAATTCAAAGCTATAATGTAGTCACTATCTTTAACCCTATTGGGGTGGTAGCTTGAAATTGAGCTCAAAGTAGCAGAAATGTTTGGTTTTTGCCGATATTCCAGAGAACACAAATGATGTACTTGTCCAATACGTGTCCAACTGGTCAGTCTAATACGTGTCCACAAACAAGATGACATTATTTAGGAAATTACAATATTGCAGTAGTCTGCATGTTACTTTTTTGTGTGTGTGAATAAAAATTAAAAATGAAAAACAAGCATAATATAGGAGAGGCCTAGGGACATAACTAATGAAAAGAGGATTTTTTTTTTTTCTTTTTTTTAGTGCCAGTAATGTCTAGCATTTAGTTTTGATAAATAATGCACTATAATTCAAGAATTAGCAGGTTTTCCACTAATGGGAAACACTTCACAGCTTCATTTAGGCTTTGAAGAACTGTCACCATCACTACTTTTGTACTCTGGGGCCATTATTAAGCAAAATTAAGGGTAATTTTTGGGCCCACGAAAGAGCTTAATACTTAGACAATGTATTTAAGTTTTTATTACATACTTCCCTTGCTTAGCACTGTGCAACATTAGTACAACCACCACCACTTACTTCAGCAGGAAGGTGAAGATAGTCACGAAGGTACTGTATCCCTTCATTTGTCAGCCTCCAGTAGTAATGGCGCCAAGCAAAGTTCTGCTCTACATAGCCTCGAGATTTCAAACTCTAGGGTAGAAAAATAAGAAAATTACTTAAAGCTACATGATGCATCACATGACTGCAATTATTGAACACTTCCAGTGCATTACCAAACCACCAGTTTGGTTCAAAACATTTATAATTTTTACAAGTACTCATTTTTTTTTTTTTTTTTTAACAAGTCGGCCGTCTCCCACCGAGGCAGGGTGACCCAAAATAGAAAATCCCCAAAAATAAAATACTTACATCATCATTCAACACTTTCACCACACTCACACATTATCACTGTTTTTGCAGAGGTGCTCAGAATACAACAGTTCAGAAGCATATACGTATAAAGATACACAACATATCCCTCCAAACTGCCAATATCCCAAACCCCTCCTTTAAAGTGCAGGCATTGTACTTCCCATTTCCAGGACTCAAGTCCGACTATATGAAAATAACCGGTTTCCCTGAATCCCTTCACTAAATATTACCCTGCTCACACTCCCACAGATCGTCAGGTCCCAATATCTTTCGCCTCCATTCACTCCTATCTAATAGCTCATGCCGTTTTGGGGAAGCCCAAAGCCCCAAACCCACAAAAACCCCCCTAGCCCACAAAACCTCCCTACCCCCCCTTTCCAACCCCTTTTCGAGGAACCCCTACCCCTCCTTTTTCCCCTATAGTTTTATATGCTTTCCATGTCGTTCTACTTTGATCCATTCTCCTAAATGACCATCCACCCAAAAACCCCCTCTTCTGCCCTCTGACTAATGCCTTTATAACCCCATCCCCTTTCCTAATTTCACACTCCGAATTTTCTGCAAATATTTACCCCAGCATTGCCCTTAAAAGGGACATTCCACTGCCTCCAACCTTTCCCCCCTCGCCTGATTTCCCACCCAAGCTTCACATCCATATAAGATTGGGGGGACTACTATATTTTTAACATTCCCTTTTTGCCTCCATAGATAACGTTTTTTGATCCCCAAAACCCCAAAGCACCCTACCTTTTTCCTCTCAATTTATGATTAACCCACCCTTTATAAAACCATCCGCCGACACGTCAACTCCCAATTATCTGAAAACATTCACTTCTTCCATACTCCTCCTCCCCAATTTGATATCCAATTTTTCTTTATCTAAATCATTTGATACCCTCATCACCTTACTCTTTTCTTATGTTCACTTTCAACTTTCTACCTTTACACACATTCTCAAATCATCCACTAACCTTTGCAATTTTTCTTTAGAATCTCCCATAAGCACAGTATCATCAGCAAAAAGTAACTGTGTCTATTCCCATTTTGAATTTGATTCCCATAATTTAATCCCACCCCTCTCCCGAACACCCTAAGCATTTACTTCTTTTACAACCCCATCTATAAATATATTAAACAACCATGGTGACATTACACATCCCTGTCTAAGACCTACTTTTACTGGGAAGTATTCTCCCTCTCTTCTACACACCCTAACCTGAGCCTCACTATCCTCATAAAAACTCTTTACAGCATTTAGTAACTTACCACCTATTCCATATACTTGCAACATCTGCCACATTGTAAAGTAAAAGGACACAAGTGCAACTAATGTGACATTTATTGTGGCAACGTTTCGCTCTCCAGGAGCTTTATCAAGCCATTACAAACAATACATGGACACAGAGGGTATATAAAGGCTCAGAGTGAGGTGAATACTAGTGAGGTACCATTTCGATGTTCACTAGTGGTAGTAGTAGTAGTAGTAGTGGTAGTGACAAAAGTAATACAATATGGTAGAGCAATTAATTCGTACATGAGTAAAAGGATATAAAAGCTATTACTTGGGTAACATAAAAATAGGTTGGACAGATATAAACTGGAATGAGGCAGGTTGTTTCAGTGTTCACTCTCTGTGCTTTGTGTAGTATAACAGGAGAGACTATGTGATGGCAGGGTTTACTGTTTTCAGGAGGATTCTTGCTAAGACTTCGGAGATGGTGAAGCTGCCGTTGTTTTGTTTAATTGTATTCGAAACAGCGATCAGTGCTGATTCAAGGCACTTGCGTGTGCGGAAATTAGTTTCTTTTATCACTAATTGGGCGTCTCTGAATTTCATAAGATGATTGGTGGAATTTCGGTGTTGTACACAGGCGTTGTTTAAGTTGTCGTTCCTACATGCGTATATGTGTTCATTGAGGCGGGTGTCGAGGTTTCTTGCTGTTTCACCTACGTAGATCTTGTCACAGCCTCCACAGGGTATAGTGTAAACTCCTGCAGGAGTTTACACTATACCCTGTGGAGGCTGTGACAAGATCTACGTAGGTGAAACAGCAAGAAACCTCGACACCCGCCTCAATGAACACATATACGCATGTAGGAACGACAACTTAAACAACGCCTGTGTACAACACCGAAATTCCACCAATCATCTTATGAAATTCAGAGACGCCCAATTAGTGATAAAAGAAACTAATTTCCGCACACGCAAGTGCCTTGAATCAGCACTGATCGCTGTTTCGAATACAATTAAACAAAACAACGGCAGCTTCACCATCTCCGAAGTCTTAGCAAGAATCCTCCTGAAAACAGTAAACCCTGCCATCACATAGTCTCTCCTGTTATACTACACAAAGCACAGAGAGTGAACACTGAAACAACCTGCCTCATTCCAGTTTATATCTGTCCAACCTATTTTTATGTTACCCAAGTAATAGCTTTTATATCCTTTTACTCATGTACGAATTAATTGCTCTACCATATTGTATTACTTTTGTCACTACCACTACTACTACTACTACTACCACTAGTGAACATCGAAATGGTACCTCACTAGTATTCACCTCACTCTGAGCCTTTATATACCCTCTGTGTCCATGTATTGTTTGTAATGGCTTGATAAAGCTCCTGGAGAGCGAAACGTTGCCACAATAAATGTCACATTAGTTGCACTTGTGTCCTTTTACTTTACATATTGTCGGTAATTCTACCAACTTTATTACAATCTGCCACATTGCTCCTCTATCCACTATCATATACCTTTTCTAAATCCATAAATGCAATAAAAACTTCCCTACCTTTATCTAAATACTGTTCACATATATGCTTCAATGTAAACACTTGATCTACACATCCCCTACCCACTCTGAAGCCTCCCTGCTCATCCGCAATCCTACATTCTGTCTTACCTCTAATTCTTTCAATTGTAACCCTACCGTATACTTTTCCTGGTATACTTAGTAAACTTATTCCTCTATAATTTTTACAATCTCTTTTGTCCCCTTTCCCTTTATATAAAGGGACTATACATGCTCTCTGCCAATCCCTAGGTACCTTCCCCTCTTTCATACATTTATTAAACAAAAGTACCAACCACTCCAACACTATATCCCCCCCTGCTTTTAACATTTCTGTCTTGATCCCATCAGTTCCAGCTGCTTTACCCCCTTTCATTCTACGTAATACCTCACGTACCTCCACCACACTTACATTCCGCTCTACTTCACTCCTAAAAGATGGTATACCTCCCTGGCCAGTACATGAAATTACCGCCTCCCTTTCTTCCTTAACATTTAAAAGTTCCTCAAAATATTCTCGCCACCTACCTAATACCTCCACCTCCCCATCTACTAACTCCCCTACTCTGTTTTTAACTGACAAATCCATACTTTCCCTAGGCTTTCGTAACTTGTTTAACTCAGTCCAAATTTTTTTCTTATTTTCATTAAAATTTCTTGACAGTGCCTCTCCCACTCTTTCATCTGCTCTCCTTTTGCACTCTCTCACCACTCTCTTCACCTTTCTTTTACTCTCCATATACTCTGCTCTTCTTATAACACTTCTGCTTTGTAAAAACCTCTCGTAAGCTACCTTTTTCTCTTATCACACCCTTTACTTCATCATTCCACCAATCACTCCTCTTTCCTCCTGCCCCCACCCTCCTATAACAACAAGTACTCATAGTGCCTGTAAAATAAATTGGTGACATTTTACCATTCAATATTTAACAAAAAAAATAAGATTAGAAATGTGACAAAGAACCTGGCTCCAGTACCTAGCTCTTGGGACCCTGCTGCTCCATATTGCTGCTTCCAATCTTTCAACTCCCCTGGCTATGAATAAACAAATGTACAGACAGGAGGCACAAACCATACTCCTTTAGATGACAGGTTCAACGCTCTACTTCTTGGGCTACAGAGCTTCTAATAGGAAAAATTCGGAAACAGTACTTTTGTACATGTATATCGACAGAAGTACCAGCTGTAGCCCTCCTGGGCAGTAGGGAAGTCAGTCAGATAACAGCTGGAAACAGATTTAGAAACAGTACATAAGTACTGTTCCCAAATCTTCCCTGTTAGAAGCCCAGTAGCCCAAGAGGTAGAACATTGGACCTGTCAATCTCAGGACCACAGTTCACGCCTCCCATCCACCCTCCTGTTTATTCATTGACAGTCATTTATTACGACTTAGCCCAAATCCCCAGGCTATCACAATTAATGTGTAACTGTTCTTGCCAGGACAAGAACAAAAACATTCACTTCCATATACAGCTTACAGATCCCCAGCAACTCCACATGCAAGTGATAAATGGAAATCTCTACTGTTTCATGCGAGTTGTCAGACATACAATCAGACTTGGTAACATTGCCTGTAGGCGGTCTAGTGTAAAACAGCAAAACAGAAATTCTTTTTCTTTGGCATTCTCACCTAAGATTTACTTTGTTCACACTTGTATGAACTGCTGCATTTTTTTTTTTAAATAAAGGACCTTAATGTTTACATATCTGGCATTTACTTTCCCTAAACCCCTTTTAGGTGAATAATTAAAAAAAGAAAATTGTATACATTATATTAAAGTATTTCAACCTCGTCAAGTTAAATGATGTAAAAGTACATATTTCAAATTCATAATTATTACATTATACCACAATTACAATAACTTTTTTTCATTTTGTAGCATCAACAAACCCATAAGACTAATCTTGAATTCAATGCCTAATTTTTCTAATACGTATACAATACAGGTCCGCCATCACAAATCCAGCATCAACGAGACCTGT